GCAGACTTCAAGGCACGCAAGTGGGATACAGATTTGCCAACCGACTCTGCCGTAAGTCATGCAGTTTTTCGTCGGCCAGGGAAGGAGGCTTCTAGGCAAGGGTGGACTCCCTTGGTTACCTGGGACTTAGAACTCCCTCTTTGGATGGTGGTGATGATGATGACGATGATGGGCCATCAAGTTGATTCTGACTTATGATGATCCTTTTCAGGGTTTTCCAGATAGAGAAGACTCAGACGTGGTTTCCCCTTCTCTCCTTCTGGAGGGGATCCCTGGGACTGTGTGCAGCTGGCCCAAGGCTACCCAGGCTGGCTCTACTCCCAGGAGGTCCAGTGGGGGGGAATCAAACTCTCAACCTCTGGTTCCTCAACCAGATGCCTAATCCACTGAGCAATCCAGCCAGCTTAAACAATAATCATCTGCTATCAAGGCGATTGTGAATTATGGCAACCCTTTTCAGGGTTTTCCAGGAAGAGAAGACAGAAGTGCATTACCCTTCCCTTCCTATAGGGGCACCCTGGGACTGTGTGCAGCTGGCCCAAGGCTACCCAGGCTGGCTCTTCTCCCAGGAGGCACAGAGGAGGAATTGAACCCCCAATCTTTGGATCCGCAGCCAGATGCTAAAATCACTGAGCTATCCAGCTAGAATAACAGAAGTAAGACTAAGATGAGTGTAAGAATTGCAGTTCATAGAAGCAGGGGCTTCTGTCTTGTGTAGTTTGGGGTGTGTGACTTAGGCAGTGCTGTGTACCTGACATTCTGAGTACCACTTCATCCATCTGAAGAAGTGGGCCATAGTCCACTAAATGCTCTAACTCTATTGTCTGAACTACGTTTAAATAGCAAATAACCCTTAACAGTCCTTCGAACAGACTGCGCCCCCTTCTGCTGGAACTCCTTCCATTCAAAGTTGCAAAGAGGGTTAAGGTTCAAGATGGTTGAATGCATGCAGTCCGTGATAAGATGTGGAATGTTCACTCTGTTATGTTGTAGCTAGCGAGAGCCTTTATCCAGAAACAGGCCGTGCATTCTGCATGGGCATCTTAGCCAGCATCCAAGCAGGAGGCATGGACCTCAAGTCTGTTTTCCCACGTAAGCATACTGGTATTCAGCCAGTCTTTTTTATCAAGAGGAACAGCTTTTTCACAGCTCCCTCCTAGCATTTAGTGAAAGCACTGAAGGGGGGAGTGTGAGGCTGCGTGGGCTGCTCACTGCGTGGGCTGTCTCTTCCAGTGGAGTCCATCTTAAGACCAGCAGAAGACATACAGATCGGAACAGAGAATTGCTACATCTAAGGAAGGAGCTGGGCACGTGTCACGCCTTCTGTGCGCCCGTTCAGCGCCAGGAGGAAGCCATCTCTCCTCCTATTTGGTCTCCCTTCAAAGAAGATAGCGGAGTTTTTATTTCCATTTTCTAGCAGCTGTTTTCCAAGGTGCTCGGAGTGGCTTAATTTTCTTCCTTCAGATACTTATGCATGTATTCTGTACGTACCTTGATGCCCGGCTGCCGCCTCATCCAAAATACCCCGATGGCAAAACCTTTACCTCCCAGCACTTCATTCAGACGCCGGATAAGCCAGGTGAAAAAGGGGTCTGTAAAACATGGCATGAGCTGGGCGGCGGCGTGGGGTGGTTTGCTTCTCTTCAGGGCGTGCTCTGCCCGTGGAGGAGGAGGCCCGTGAATCGCTGCGCCAGCAGAACGCCTCGCTTGGCGTGGAGCGCTTTCTGCCCATGGGAACCTTGCCGACGTTTGACGTCCTGGGACTGATTTATTGGGAGCTCTGTTCATGGGACATCATCCTAGGTGATGTGAAAAGGGCTTGTAGACTTCAGCAAATTCAGAATACCGATTTGTCATTTACAGACGTGGCAAACGAAAATTTATTTTGCATCTACCAGAGCAGCGTCAACCCTCCTCACTACGAACTTATCTACCAAGGCCAAGTCTACAATCTACCCAAGGTAAGAATGCAGGCGCTTCTCATCGATGCCTCTAGAATGGTGGTGGTGGGGGGAAAAACAGAAAAAGAGGTCTAAAGCTGTGAAGTAAGCCTCTAGTGGAACGGAGGCAGGGTCAGCCTAGGAGCAGGATAGAATCATGGAGTTGGAAGGGGCCTCTGAGGCCATCAAGTCCAACCCCCTGCTCAAGGGAGGAATACAAAGCAGATCGGACGACAATGACTGTCAAAGGTTCTCTTGAATCCCTCCAGTGTTGGAGCGCTCACCACCTCCCTGAGGTCATGGGTTCCATTGTTGTACTGCTCTAACAGTTAAGAATTTTTTTCCGTGAATATAACAACCCAGCTTTGGAAAAGTCGTCTTCCTGAAGGGAGTGGAAAGTGTGAATTCCTCACACCGTGGTGCCGTATCTCTTGTTGACCTGAGTAGCAGATTCCTGTTCTTCTTAACTAACTTGGCTTGCTAGATGTTCCTCATGACCTAGTTCATTCTCCTCGCTACTCACCCTCCCCTTACTGTCCCCCTTTTGTAAATAAATTGTGCTGTTTGGGCTGTGTAAGGATCAGCAGCAATCATCGAATCATGGAGTGGGACGGGCCAACTGTAAGGCCCTCGAGTCCAACCCCCTGGCTCGAAGCAGGAATCCCAGATCAGAGCAGATATCTGACTGAGGGCAGTCCAGTTTTCTCTTGAAGGCCTCCAGTGCTGGAGCGCTCAGCAACTCCCAAGGATCAGCTTGTTCCTAGTGTATTAGGGGACGTGGTGGCGCTGCGGTTTAAACCGCTGAAGCCTCTGGGCTGCAGAGTCAGAAGACCTGCCGTCGTAATATTGAATCCACGCGACGGAGGGAGCTCCCGTCACTTGTCCCAGCTCCTGCCAACCTAGCTGTTCAGATGCATGTAAAAATGCGAGTAGATAAATAGGTACCACCTCGGTGGGAAGGTCACCGTGTTCCGTGTCTAGTTCGCGCTGGCCACGGGACCATGGAAACTGTCTATGGACAAACTCTGGCTCTACGGCTTGGAGACGGGAATGAGCACCATGCCCTAGAGTCAGACGCGACTGGACTAAATATCAAGGGGAACCTTTACCAGTGTATAATGGGGATGCATAAACCCTTGCAGGCAGTGACAAAAAAGCAAAGGGTACGGATTCTGTGGAGCCTCTTAATGTCATCCACCCAACCCATACGATCATCTCAATCGAGGCCCCTTTGCGTAGCCACCCCGAGGCAGCGTCTTCTTCGCCGTGGCTCTGACTTGGTGGAACCAGCTTCCAGGGGAGCTCCGCCCGGCCC